TATTTTTATTCTTATAGATTTTAACTAGTTGCTAACTTTTTGCATTAGTTTGATTCCCATTTATTTTCTTATCTTTGTAAATATCCATGTATTTATCTGCACATAATGCACTGAATGCACCAAAACGCAAAAAAAAACGCAATACATTATCATATTTTCTCTTTGTATAGTAATGCCTTTTTTTCTTCTTTTTATTTTTTGCCGTTTTTCATAGTTTTTAAATATAAATTCATTGCCAAAATTCAAATTTTTACAAATTTTTTTTTGCATTTTCAGATTTCCTAATCTTCCTCTTTTTCCTTCTTCTTGCTCTATTCACTTTTGTTCTCCCTTTTTATAAAAATCCATTAAATATATACAAACGTCCTTTATGTCCATATTTAGGCACTGACTCATTTATTTAATTATTTCCCGTTATCTCATGGTGATATAGTGGATCATTCGCACTGCGCTTGATTGCTTTTTCAGCCATTCTCAGCATTCCTTTCTAATTATTTCTCGAATATTATTATTTTTCAGCTTCTGGCCCATATTTGCTCAATTTTTCATCCTAATCATACATCGAGTAATTAATTACTACACTGTCTATTCAGTCATCTGTTGACTGGTTCATTCACTGAGTTTCCCGTTTCAAAATCGCTATTATTTGATGATTCACAGCAAGCTGAAACCCCTGCATTCAGATGACGAAGAGACCTAGCGACGATGACGTCGATTGCATCGAAGAACCTCCTGCGAAAGTGGCTTGCCCGGATACGAGCGATAATGACGGTAAGTTTTTGCTATTAGTGTGATTGCACAAATCACTTTCGAGCGCAGTGCAGTCTATCCGAACTTTCAAGCAATGTCGAAAGCACCAAACTTGTACTGTCATAACCTTTATTTTTTTAATTTTACTTTTTTCTTCTGCTGCTGCTTCAAACAGTTTTTTCAGCCGTTTTCATCATTTCCTTCAGAATTATTATGATTAGAATTTTAAAGACCTGTTTTCGAGGACCAGTCCTCGCATTTTTATTGCAAAATGATAATCTAACAACATTTTTCTCCTACTTTTGATTACTATCCCAATCATGTTAGCAAGAATGTAAAAGGAATAAGAACATTTCCACATCCTAGAT